ATTACTGAAATATGGCTGACAGTGTAAAAAGAGGAAAAGTGTTCTGCTTAGTATAGGGGTGTCGAACTCATCAGACCCTGTTGGTCTTGTATATTTTTAAAAGTAACTTATTTAATTAGCAGGTTACTTAAGCAAATGCATATTGATTGCTGTTTACATGCCTCATTAAAAGAATATTCTACAGCAGGGCTATCCAACTGGCCCCCATGGGCCATATGTGGCCTTCAAGGGGTTAAGTTGTGGCCCCTGGGCTCTCACCTCGCTGCCACTCCCCCATTGTTCCAGCTGAAATAACAGCTAGAGCCCCCAGGCTCCCCATTCCCTTTTCCAGCTCCCACTTCCTGCCTTTGCTTCAGGGGGCAAGGCAGTTTGGCAGTGTAGAGAGCTGAGAGTGAGTCCAGGGCCATGCTATGAGCAGGGATTAGGGCCACCTGTTGTGGGGCCCCTGGTCATGTGGTCCCCAAGGAGCTGAGAAACTGTACAGCTCTGCTCTATAATGAGAAAGATTTACAAATGTTAAGCTGTTATAAAAGCACTAACCAAATGCCCATCAAGAATGATGGGGTTGGGGGTAGGAAGGGGCTGGGATGGAGTGCCGCCACCTAATGCCCAATGCTGCCGCAGTTCTGCCTCTTGCAGGGGGTGGGGTGGGTGAGCCAAGGCCCCACCCCCTGTCCAGTTCTTGGTGCTGTTTGCAGGGAGCGGGGTGGGAGAGCTGACACCAGTGCTGCTGGCCTCGGCTCCCCCACCCTCACTCCAATCCTTGGCGTGGATTCAGAATCATGGCGGTGCTCCCCCATGCTTGGAGCACTCTGATTGGCTGTTTCCATCAGCCAGTCAGAGTGTGAATAAAGCATTACAGACAGACAGACTTAGGCTTTTACAATATTAGAATTTTTATACTTATGGTAAGTTTAAAAAACGTTAGTTGGAGTGACAGGAGAGAGAAGGTTGTTCAGCCTTTATCTCTGACACCACTCGGTCTCACATAGACAGAGCACATAGACCAGGTTTGTCCAACATATGGACCGCGGGCCACCATGCAGCCTGCCAAGCCATTTTCTGTGCCCCGAGGTCCCTCACTCAGGACAGACACGTGGGGGAGGGGAAGGGAGCTGCTCACCCCCACAGGGCCGGGCTCCTGTGACCTCCCACATCACGTGAGCCAGATCCCGCAGCCGCTCTGAGGGCTGCACAGCACGGGGCTGCGCCTGACAGGATGAGCTGAGGACAGCACCTGCTTTTACTTGTCTCTGGCTTGGCCCCTTGCCCCCGGTGTCCTGCCCGCCTCCCAGGACCCACTGGGCTCAGTGGTCTTGGGGCGGGAACAGGGCACAGCACCAAGCACAGGCAGTTGGCAGGGCAGCCCCAGGGGGGGCCTCAGCAGGCAGGGTCCTGGCATGACCTCTGTGGGGCAACGCAGCGGGCGCCAGTGCCTGCTGGGCCCTGTGCTCCAGGCTTGCAGCGTTGAGGCCACCAGGGCTGCGTGTGCAGGCGGCCGGGCATCATGGTGAGTAGGGCCATGCGGGCGGGTGAGCGAGGGGCTGTGGTGCAACGGCCACCTCACTCCGGTCCCCCTTGGGCAGCGCCAGCTTGTGGGGTTGTGCTGCTCGGGGGGTGGCCTGGGGGGGAGGGGGGATTGTTGCTCCCTGCCGCTGGGCAGGGCGCTGCTCTCCTGCTACGGCGGCTGCCTGCACCCTCCTGGGGGCCATTTGCCTTCACCGCAGGGAAGTGTGGAGGAGTGGAGTGGCCTGTGTTCCCCCGAGGCCTTCCCCCACCAGGAGCTGCCCTGAGCAGACGAGGCCTGAGACCCTGCTAGGCTGGGAACTGGCTTTGCTCCTGCAGTTCCGCCGTCCCCCATCTCACACGTTGGCTGGGCCCCAGCCACATCTGCCCAAGCACTGCCAAGACTTTGGGCAGCGGTGTTGCTGATGTGGGCAAGGCCTGGGGAAGCAGCGGCATCGGCGGCCCCTTGGCCTGCGTGAGAGCACCAGCTACATTGGTTTGGTCACATATTTTAACCTGGCTGTCAAATACCTTCTGGGGCTACCATCAAATGGTGGTCGTATTAGGCAGAAGGGGGGCCCCAGCTGTTGGGATGGCTGGTCCAGGACATCAGCTGCTGTAGTTTGTCACTAGCTGAGCACAGGTGGGGGTTTATGCCAGCTTTGTCTTATTTCAGGCAATATACGGCCCGTAGGGTGATAAAATATGAATATGGCTTGCCAGCCCACTGGGTGATAAAAAGTTCATAATCTGGCCCCACATTCAAAAAGGTTGGACACCCCTGACATAGTCAATGGCACATCAGATGCCCTGTATACACCAAAGAAATCTAAGAATGCTTTCCAAAGGAGTCTGAAATCATTTTACTGCACTGCCCAGTTCTTGCATTTTCTCACATTCAGATGGAAAGCTCTTGCACTGCAACAAAGTATTCAGTCACAAGCCTATATAAGGAACCGATTTATTCTTCCAGAAAGAAAATAAGTTACTATTGTGAGACAGCTGTTCCTAAAAACCACATTCCTCCCCTCCACTTCAATAAATGTTCCAGAACAAAGAAGATAGCTTTCGCTAGATTCTATGCCTTCAGTGTAAACCTCATTATCTTTAAAAATGCACTATTACTAGGCGGTACTTTATTAAAATGAAGCTGGTAGCACTATCAATCACTAAGCTTGCCTGTCATTTCCCGCTTTCTCATGGCCGGTTGCACATGTAGCTCCACGGGCTGATGATGGGCGGCATGTGATTAGCCAGGCACGAGGCCTGTCAGTAGCCCACAGAGTCTCATGTTCGACTGGCTGTGGGAAAGTGGGATGGTGGTTGGCAG